GAGAGGCACATTCTTGGGGTCAATGTCCCAAGTCCCTTCCTCAGTCTCTCTCTGCTTCCTAGCTACCATGCAGCGAGCAGAGCAGTTTTGTTCGGCCACACGCTCTTGCACGCTGAGGTTCTGTCTCACCACGGGCCCACAGTGATGGAGCAAGCCATCCATGGACTGAGACCTCTAAACCATGAGCCAAAGCAAACCTTTCCTCCCTTTAAGGTATTCTCATAGGTATCTGTTGACCCAAAGCCAACCAACTTCAACAGGAGGCAGAGGGAGGCCCTCCCTGTTCTTCAGTCTTTTCTGAAGTGTTTTTGCCTCAGCTCTGAAATACCACTGTGGTTTCTTTTATGAAGTCCAACCTCCCTTCCTGAGGAACTGTGGCCCACCCTCCATATTCCATTACTTCTGGCACCCTATGGGGTATTGCATAGAAGCACGAGACTGCTACCCCTGTCGTGTAGCTTCTTGAGTTACGAATCTCTTTGAGGACTCTCCTGCTTCTTCATAGCAGGCATGGGGTGTCTGCTGCAGAGAGGCCTGTGCTATGAGAGTGGGTTGTTTATTTCCATCACTCATAGGGGTTCATCGAGTTCCAAGCAGTAGCCTTGAACCCTCAATTTGAATCTCCCTGGGCCTGACATATGGCGGTGAATCTGCAGAGCAGAGAAGTTATCCTTCTGAGGCCTGCCATCCCTACAGAACTCACAAGTGCTATGGGATGACCGTCTGCCTCTTGGAAGCTGTGGAATGGAGTCCCAGTCAAACTAGGTAACCGTGGTGCAGCATACGGGGTGTCAGAGTGTGGGTTAGGCACAGGCCTGTTATTGTTATACATGGGCACTGAGGCAGGCCTGCATATCAGCCGTACCCTGGAGGAGTGTCATTGGCTTCCTCACTCACAAGGATCCCAGTGTCAGCTGGCTGGCCAGAACACAGTCTTTTCTTATCCGCCGCAGGTAGTGATCCAGCAATCTAAGCCCATTTCTCCCTCTATGGCAGCTGGACTTTTCTGGAGAGCAGTTGATTCTCAACTGCTTTGCTTCCAGTTAAGAAAGTGGAGCTGGCAGCTCTTCACACCATTGCCTCCGTCATTGCGCCCTTAGTAATTAACCGAGGTGTGTCTGGGTGGCAGGTGCTTCGGGTTGAGCCTTTGGGTACCCCTTTCCATTTCACTCCCCAGGCAACCAACCCCCTGACATACATGTGGCTCCCCCCGTCTCTCAGATGAAGAGACTGGACCTCTGGAAGCATAACAGTTTTTCCCCAAGGTCATAGAGCAGGGAAAAGGATGCAACTGCCCTTCAGCCCAGGTCTGTCTTAACTGCAAGGCTTGTGCCAGTTTGTGATATGTTAGCACTATAAAAGCCACCATCTACTGATCTCTTAGGTGCCAGGCTCAGCCCATAACCAGGAGGAGACTCAGGGGATATGTTCCTACTGGCATGGAGCAGGCTGGCATGAATAGGGCACTCCCTAAGCAGATCCTTTATTTTAATCTTTTTTTTTTTTTATGGCTGCGATGAAATATTTACTTTATTTCACACATTCATGGATTGCGGTAAAGCCAGGAAGGAAACACTTACACCACCCTCTCACATGAGAGGAAAGAAAGCACCAACTTGAGCTGGGTAGCAGACTCCACTTCATCCCAATTGCACAAAGAAGTTATACCTCTGGACCCATTTGAGACCATGGAGTAGGCACCTGACGCTGAAGTGTTTCTGATGACCAGTCACCCAGGCTTATTTGACAGAGGGATGTTTGGGGACCCGTGGTGATTGATGGCTATTTCTTCTGAATCTAGATCAGCAAGTAGCAGGGGCAAACTGATTCAGGCGAAATGCCAGGAGAGAGGGATTTCATACTAACATTTTGGAACCTTCCATTATCTACTCATTTGTAGAACAAATACCATATTCCAGGCCCTTCTTGAAGTGTCACAGGTTTGGAGAGATGAATAGTCTCTGCCTTCCAAGTGTCTGTAATTTAACTGAGGGTAACAGATGTGTAAACAAGGACCTGGGAGCTGTCTTCTCTAGCTTCTGTTCCTCACCTGCAGTGTGGTGTCTGGCAGGTGATTCAGCCCTGCTGGACCCCTGAATCCTCTGTACAAAACCAAGTAAAATATGTAATGTGTCCATCTGTCCTCCCTCCCCTTCACTCTTCCTTTTTTTCTGTTTCCCCTTCTTCCTCTCTCCCTTTCCTTTCTCCCTTTTAATTTTTCATTCTTCAAGGCAATTTATGTGTACATGCATTCCTTGAGCAACTAACTACTGAGTGCTCAAATGTGTGAGATGCAGGACTTGCCTGGAGCACACAGACCAGAGGGGCAGCAGATACTGGCATGACTCATTTTATTGAGTCCCTCATCAGAGCCATGTACACAGGGGTGGCAGAGCCGGGAGCTCAAGCGGAGCTGAGCTCTGGATCTTCCACTAGCACAGGCTTCTCAAGTCCGCACAAGCCTTCGGTACTGGAGAAGCAGTGCTGAGAACTCAGGGCAGGTCCCACAGCCTCTCCTAGTGCTTAAGCAGCAGGCTCAGCAGGTAACCAGGAGGACACCCCGGGGGACGTGTTCCTGCTGGCACAGAGCAGGTTGGCATGAATAGGGCACTCCCTAAACAGAACAGCTACAGGCAACCGACAAACCGTAGCCCTAATCGGATGCCATATGGGCTGGTCATGAAAGGCTGAGCAAGTACCATTTTCCTTGGTAGGAATATTATTTATATCTGCAGTTGATTAAAAGAACTCACGCCAGGGGAAGGCCCACAAGCATACATACAAAATCACACAATTGAATAAGATAGCAGCAGCTTCCTGCCTAGAAACAAAAGCGGCAGCTCTGGCCAAGAAATGTCATTTTTTTTTTTCTCACTCTTGCTGTTCCTAGCTCTAGCATGTGACTGGACTTGTGCATGTGGAAAAGCCACTATATCCCTTTTGGGATATGTTTAAGAATGTGCCCTCTAATGTACCCACGAAAGTGGTACATGTGTGTGTGTGCATGTGATGACTTGTGGAAGTGAGGGTGGGCTGGGTCTTCTATGCTCTCCACTTTATTTGTCCAGACAGGGTCTATCACTGAACCTGGAGTCTGACATTTCAGCTGGAATGGCTGGCGAGCAAACTCTGGGGATCTGCTTCTCTGTTTCCTCAGCACCTGAGTTCCAGTTGCGTGACTTGGTGCCTAGCATTGTATGTAGGTTTTGGGGGTCGGAACTCAGGCCTTCAGACTTCTGCAGCAAGCACTTTCCTGAATGAACCATCTCCTCAACACTAGACACCCACACCTCTAAAGAGGTGACCCTTTGAATGCTGCTGTGTGTTATGACCCCCTCTCTGGGCACAGAGTACTTCTGTCTCTCCTTTCACTTTTCTCATGTCCCAAAGTCCCCCCGCCCCAGGACTTGCCCACAGGGCACAGTGGGAAGAGTCTCTCATGGCTCTGGAGTCTTTGCGTCTCCACCCTTACATCTGCTCCTGGAGCTAGCACTGTGTGTTCACTGGTTCACCTTCTGCCTGATGTAGACTCTTCCCAAATCAAGAGCTTTGAACTCCAACCACTGTGTAACCTCCAGAATGACTTTCAACTGCAACAGACACTTCCTCCTGGGTCCCTTTCTACACTGTATCTGTTCCTTACCCCTTCTCTGCTCAAGGTGAAGCCATCGCTTTTCTCCTACCCCCCTGGTCCTGCCTTTAGATCCTCATCTTGGTGACATCACCACTATCCACTCAGACATCCACAGACAGGAGACCCCTTGGACCTCACACCCATCTCTATCCAAGCCGTTGGTTCCTCCTTCCCACAGTCTCATAGCTTCCCACTTTCTCCTTAGGATGGGGACCCCTTGGCACAGAAGTCCTGAACACGGAGGCACATGATCAGTGACTTCTGGATCCACTGTGCTGACTCAGTGTAAGCTGTGCACACACGAAGCATCACTGTATTGGAAGACATTCCAGAGAATTTATTATAAATCTTTCTTTCTGGGTGCTGTATCGGTTTAATGCCCTGAGCAGAGCAGAGCGGACAGTGCCATCTTTTGCTGGCTCCCAGATCCTGCCATGCCTCATGCTTCTATGTGAACTCTCTCTCTCCTCTGAGCCTCCTCTTTTTCACTGTCTCTCATCTTTAAGACTTGTTTCTCACCAGGCAGTGGTGGTGCACACCTTTAATCCCAGCGCCCAGGAGGCAGAGGCAGGTGCATATCTGTGAGTTCAAGGCCAGCCTGGTCTACAGAGCGAGTTCCAGGACAGCCAGGGCTGTTACACAGAGAAACCCTGTCTTGAAAAACAAAACAAGATAAGACAAGACAAGACAAAACAAAACAGACTTGTTTCGCCTACTCATGTCCTGGATTCTCCTGCCCAAGAGCACCTTCTCTGTGTTCCTTAGGGTCCTTGTCACATATTTTTTGGCCAAGCATATCATAACTATATTCATTTTATAGCCCAGTAGACAGTAAGTAACCAACAGGCAGACAGTCTGTGCTACTACTCACTTCTGTCATCCTAGCACTGGACCGGCCGGCACACAGTGGGTCCCAGTGAGGAAATGTCCAAGGGATGACACAACTGTCAAACAAAGAATGTGTGGCCATGTGGCCTGGGGTGCCGCAGTGGTCCCTGCCTCCAGGTTAGTAAAGCCTTCCATCAGCTCTGAGGGCAAACAGTGTCAAAGCCCTTCAGCTCACGTGGAGACCACAGGATCAGAAAGAGCTGACTGCAAAGTGGGTATTGATCCAAGATTCTCCTCAGACCTTTGATTTTTCACTCTCGCCATCTATCACCCAGCGGGAGCGCCAGAGCTTTGCTCATAATTCGGAAGCCCTTGGACAGCAGTTTTGTCAGTGTGGGTACCGGAGGCTGCTTCTTCGCCTCTCCCACAAACACATTAGAACCTCCAGGGCCCACCGACCCTCTCAGTCTGCTCACACTCAGACATGACTCAATCTCCCCGCAAGAGCTGCTGGTGGAGCTGAGCTCCATGGACTCACCCTCCATCAAAGGGGTTCTCGCCAGGGATGACGTGCGTGCTGTCCCTGCCCACGAGGAACTTGATGCGGTCGTAGAAGGAGTGAAGGTTCTGCTGGGATACAGGGGCCTGTGTCTCTTGGATGATGTCCAGAGGGTCAGGGGAGCCGAGGCACAGCGGGTTGACATGACAGAGGGGCTGGAGGCAGCAGTCAGGGTCCATGCAGTCCACCAAACCATCTGCAGGGGCGACAGAGCACGGAGTTTAGACCGCTATGTTCAATCAGCCATCTTAGCCTAGCTTTCCTTCACTGGCAAACTTCAAATGCAGATATAAGCCAAGGTTTTTTTTTTTTTCTGAGCACAAGAAGACCCAGGTACCTCAGCTACTTCTGGCCCCAGCCTTTCAGTCTAAGAGGTGATACACATATTAAGTAAGTAAGCATATGGTGTATGCATTGTTTTTCCTCTTCTAAAGCAATAGCAGGAAGAGTTGACGGGAAAGCTCAGAGGAGAGAGAATGCGCAGCCATCAGAGATGCTAAGCCCAAACGCTGGTGTTTGGGGGGCGTAGCAAGGGATGAGGCGGCAGTGTTGGTTGGAGCAGCTGTGCTGGGCTGTTTAGTTCATGTTCGTGGGCTGGAATTTTGCCCTCAGGCAATAGGCACCCCTACAGGCTTGAAATAGAAGGTGACTTCATTTGAGGCACACTGTTAAAACTCACAGGCCAGATAGGAAGCGTGGTGGTGCTGAGGCAGCACAGAGGAGAAATAAAGCTGCTTAGGTCAGAGTGGCCCGCTGATGGAGAATGGCCAGTAGATGCTTTTGAGAGACTTAGTGGACAACATCTGAGACCTGGTGACCGCCTGGCTCTGGGCAGAAGAAAGGGCCGTAAGGCCCTGTAACTGTAGCATCTCCACCAGCTGTGGGATCGTGTGGCTCCAGGCACAGCCCTCAGCCCTTCAGAGGCCCAGCTCCACCTTCTGTGAGCTGTCATTTGTAGGGAGTTCTCTTTCCCACATAGATGGATAGCTTCAGGACCCCCAAACTATGACAGCTTGTCGAACTTTCCAAAGATTAAAAGAAAGAGATTATCCCAGGTTACAAACTGGCTTTACTATTGCGAGGTACTTTTATAGTCCCCAAATAACAGTTTAGGATGGGTATCAAACCTAGAGATCAGAAGACAGTGACCACAACGTGGGCTAGGAAAACTCCAGAGTCACATCTGTATATGTTAGAGGCAGAGATGACACACGTACTGCCTGGGTTCAAATCCAAGCTTGCCTACTTATGAGCTGTGTGACACTGGAACACTTTTCTGCCACCCTGGTCACAGATGTACTTTGGTCATCTCTGCTGTGCCCTTAGCACTTAGTAGACATGGTTAAAACATGACTGTTACATGAATAACAGCAACAACAAAGCCAGATTAACAATCAATGACCGAAGCAGGAGATACGGTGAGATGCTAGTCTGTAAAAGTCAGAAGATGATATCTTCAATCAACCATATTCAGCAGTATGATATGACGGTGGGATCATGAGGCATGGAGACTGAAGGTTATTTCTCAGCACTGTCTGTAAGACTGACCCCAGACAACTTGCCAAGTTCAATCTCTCGGAATACCGTGTCCTCACCAATAGTGTGGGAGTAATGCTGGCACACCCACCTCACTCCCGTTTCTCTAGGGTTGACGGTGTAGAATCCGCACCTGGGGCATGGCATCCGGAGGACAGTATACACACTGGCTAGCGCCAGTTCTCACCTCACTGGCTGAGTCGCCTCTGGCCAACCCTTCTAGGATGGTTCATGGCGGAGTAAACAGTGCTTAAGGAACTAATCTTTAGTCAAACGGCCAAGACTCTTGGATGAGCCCAATCCCAGTTTCCCATGCCCCCTAAGTAAATTAGGGACAATCATCCCTGGCTATATTCCCTTTTTTGTTGTTGTGGTTTTTTTCCACTTTTTTTTCTCCCATTTTCTGTATAGTACCTAAGAGCCTGTGGCCTCTTGGATGGTAGCACAGCCACAGAATCTGGATTCCAGAGCTAGATAGCTGAGGATCGGATGTCAGATGACCTTGGAGAAGTCACTTAAACTATCTGGTCTCAGATTCTTACATCTTTCTCTCTTTTGAAAATTACTACATTTTCTTCAGGTGTGTGTGTGTGTGTGTGTAAAAGCATGTACCATACTGTGCATGTAGAGCTAAGGAGACAACCATGGGAATCTCTCCTTCCACCCCGTGAGTCCTAAGGATCAAGCCCAGGTTGTTAGGGTTGGTGGCAAGTTCCTTCACCCACTGAGGCATTTTGCTTGGCCAGCTTCCCATGTTTCTTATGCAGATGATAGGAGTGTTATGTAAGTTTCCATCCCATAATAAACTATGGAGCACTACATCCCCAAATCCAACAGTGTTGGGTACACAGTAGGTACTAATACAGGGTAATTTCCCCTTTGACCTTGAACTTGCAGAACCACCCTGTGTCTCTCACCCCAGTATTATTTTAGATGGTAACCTTGGCTTGTCTTCTAGCTTCCAGGTCCCCCCACTGCCTAGCAAAGCACCCACCCTCTCCTGCCATCGGCAGGTTTCATCACACGTTTTTCCGTTTGCCCTCATCAGATGTTGCTTAAACACATAATTACAGCCCAAGCAGAGGGTTATTTGCATTCTGCTATTGACGTGAACATGACAGCTTCAGTGGCCGCATCCATAACTCCACAGAGACGCTCCATTATTCAATCCCAGCGAGCAGGGACGTTGACCATTAAATCAGCTAGCACAATTGAAGGGCCGTGAAAAGTCATGGCTAATTTGAAATTTTATTAGCTCTTGCCTGCTCTTGTTTACCACCAAAGTAGTCCCTGGAAGCCAGTCTTCACCTTTTTATAAACACTCTTCTTGGTGGCACCTGGGAGGGACTGTTTCCTGTCAGGGAGGGATGCCTACTCTCCAGCCCTGAGGAAGGTGCCCCAGGAATAAGGGTGGTTCTCCTTGATAACTGTATTAGGTCGATGAGGGTGACAAATGGCAGTGACGTCGGGCCCTGAATACTTTATAAGGACTAATGGCCTTAGCTGCCACCCATCCTGGGAGGTAGCCCTGTCGTCACTGTCAATTCGGAGAGGGAACCACAAGTCAGGAGTGGTAAAGCAGTTGAGGGGGGATTTGAACTCAGTTCTTTCCGACCTATGGAATGCTCTTTGAGTCATCCAGGAGAGACTCATGAGCATAGTTTTTTAAGTGGAGAGTAGGAACTTAGGAATCCTACTGCAACAATGCCCGTCCATGCCATGCTCAGCACTTAAGACAATTTCTCTCTATCCAGATGGCCACACCCCATCCCCACATCCCTGCACAAGTTGCTTAATGTCTCCAGCCTCAGTTTCCTTAGTTAAACAGACAAAAAGAGATGCTTCGTTATTTAGACTTGGGAATCTGTCGCCATTGCCTGTACAAGGCCTCCTTTGGTATCTGTGACAGTGAAACAGATTGTCTAGAAAAGTTGTAGCCTGACTGTCTCCAAGCCCTGGAGACAGCATGCATGCTCCACAGTGAACCATATGCCATACCTTAGGCATTTTATTTAGGATTGCGTCTTGCATGAGTTCTGGAAAATTCTCTTATAAACTGGGAATGCGCCTCTATTTCTCTTTAGCCCTTTCTTTGGGATACTAATAAAAGTTCAAAGGGCCGTCTCCCGTTTCATGCCTCTCAAGCTCTGCATTTCTATCTTTTTATTTGTATCTCATTCTGATCAATGTCCTTAGACTTCTATTCTACTTCACTTATTTTTCCTTCATTTGTATCCGGTCTGCTATTTAATTCGTCCCCTGGCTCATTAGTTCCAATGACCATACTTTAAGATTTGTAGATGGTCTCTTTGGGACTTTTCAAAGTCTGCCTGTTTTTTTTCCCTGATAGTATCTTGTTCCATCCTTATGGTTTTATACATCAGTTTATCTTTGTAGTGATATAAAAGCTTATTTATGATATAGTCTCTTTCGGGTCACATTCTTGAGAGGGGTAATCCTCTTGTATGCTATAGTTGTTAACCGCAGCCTGTAGTCAGCCACTTCCCACCTGTTCTAGAATTCTCACTGGGGATCTCACATGGTTGGTTAACCCTCTAGCATGATTTTTTTGGTGACTTCTGCCTGCCATGCCAGAGTACCACTCACGCAGGATTGCTTTTTGGGTGGATTTTTCTTTTAGCTTGGCATTAGTACTCTGGTTAATAAGATTATTTCAGGACCTTTATGCTGTGAGAGCTCTGTCTCTCAACGATGTCTCTTTCTGTACCCTAGCTCCATGCCACCCACTCTGCTCTGGCAGGCACGTTCCGGAGCTCGCCTTTGAGGCTTCCAGTTCTCTGTGTGGTGTCGGCAGCAGTGCCTCACTGGGAGCATGTCCCGTCGCATGAGTGTGTCATGGCTTCTCTGCCCACTGCTCTGGCTTTCCATTTCATTTTATTTCTGAGTTCCAGGGCTCCTGCTCCCCCTTTCTCCTTCGCTGAATTTTAAAGGTAAATTGTTGTATCTTGTGGTCAACAGGGTGCTATGATGACCTACTTGGACATTTTGCTGGAAATAACTGTCCCAGCAAAAGCTCTGAGCTTTTTGCTTCCATCTGTTAAACGAGTCGCCATGAAACCTACTTCACAGAGATGCTGTGAGAATCAGAGAGGGAGGTGGTCAGAAGCTCCTATGTAAGGACCCAGCCAAGGACACTTGTGGCTTCTGACAGGTACTTCCCTTCAGCGAGCATCCTGGTAACCTGGCAACCAGCTGCCGTTTGATCAAGCCCGGGTCTCTTCCTCTGCACACATTCCAGGTAGGGTTCTGGGTACAGTGTGACCTCAGAGGACTGAACTGGATAAAGCCAGCCCTGGTGACACATGTAAATTAAGGTACTGAAGCTCTCAGGGCCCTTTCAAACTAGTGTCTATAAAAAGGAGATACCACAAGACCCATACTCCCACCAGAAACTTTGGGACTGCAGAATTGCCCACTGTGTGCATGCATGGTGGGTTGTGATTGATGCCAGGCTAGATATTCTGCCTTCCTTCACCTCCTTATGCTGATGCTTCCTCCTCACACACTTGACAAATATTTGCTGAGCAGTAAATGTGGGCAACTCTCCCATTATCATATTTAAATGAGACTCATATTTTGAAATGAATGGTACCTACAAACTTCACTCTCAAACTTCACTTCATTATATAAGCCCAGTGT